TAAAGTACTGTCATCCTTTGCAAACAAATACTCTCCTCTTGGAAAACAGCTGTTTTCCTGTTATTGGACCTTAGTGGAGACTGAATGCCTCACCATGGGCCACCAAATCACCACAAGGCCTGAGCTTCCCACTATGAACTGGGTATTGTCTGACCCACGGAATCATAAAGTTGGACGTGCACAGCAACACTCCATTGTTAAATGGAAGTGGTATATATGAGATCAGGTCAAAGCAGGACCTGAAGGTACAAGTAAGCTGCATGAAGAAGTGACTCAAATACCCACAGTCTCTACTCCTGTCACAGTCCCTTCCTTTTCCCAATATGCACCTATGGCTTCCTGGGGAGTTCTTTATGATAATTTAACTGAAGAAAAGCAAATTCATGCTTGGTTCACTGATGGCTCTGCACGATATGCAGGTATCACTTATAAGTGGACAGCAGCATCACTACAGCCCCTCTCTGGGATCCCCCTAAAGGACAGTGTTGAAAGGAAATCCTCCCAATGGACACAACTTTGATCAGCTCACCTGGCCATTCAGTTTGGCTGGAAGGAGAAATGGCCATATGTGAAATTGTATACTGATTCATAGGCCGTGGCTAATGCCTTGGCTGGATGGTCAGGGAATTGGAAAGAACGGGGTTGGAAAATTGGTGACAAAGAGGTGTGGGGAAGAGGTAAATGGATAGACCTCTCTGAACGGGCCAAGAAAGTAAAGACAAACTTGTCTCATGTGAACACTCACCAAAGGGTTACCTGTGAAGAGGAGGACTTTAACAATCAAATGGATAAGATGACACACACTGTGGAGACTAGTCCTTCTCTTTCCTCTGCCACTCCTGCCATTGCCCAATGGGCACATGAACAAAGTGGACATGGTGGCAGGGATGGAGTTTATGTACGGGCACAGCAACATGGACTTCCACTCATCAAAGCTGACTTGGGCACTGTCATTGCTGAGTGCCCCCACTGCCAGCAGCAGAAACCAACACTGAGTGCAAGATAAGGGACCATTCCTCAGGGAGATCAACTGACAACCCCATGGCAGTTTGATTACATAGGACCACTTCCGTCATGGAGGACGCAGCATTTTGTTCTTACTGGAATAAACACCTAGTCTGGATATGGATTTGCATTCCCTATACACAATGCTTCAGACAAAACTACCATTCATGGATTTACCGAATGCTTTATCCACCAGCATGTCATCCCACATAGCATTCCTTCAGATCAAGGAACTCACTTCATAGTAAGTGCAGTACGGTAATGGGCCCACGCCCATTGCGAATATGGAAGTGGTACTATGCAGTCATAAGAGTGTGAACTTGATCATGAAGGGAAGTAGAAAAGTTGAGATCCCTGGGGTTGATAGATCTGGAAGCTGTATGAAGATGTTATCAGAGTGTCATGAGTACAGGTATTGTAGTTAATAAGCATGCGGCTATTCAATTAAAATCTGTTATATTAAATATTTCATTTTCCACATTAATATTATGTGGAACAAGAGATATCATTGCTGATGACAGATGGATCTTGGCTGAATGCAGAGAATAACAGAGAGATATTTCTTTGTATTTTATTGACTATGCCAAGGTATCCGACTATGTGGATCATAAACAAAACAAAACAAAACATTATGGATAGTCTTGAGAATGAGAATTGCAGAAATCTTCATTGTGTTCATGTGGAACCTGCAAATGGATCAAGAGACAATTATGTGAACAATGGAATATTTCATGGTTTACCATTAGGATAGGTGTGCTACAGGGCAGTATATTTTCACCACACTTATTCAAGCCATATGCTGAGCAAATAATCAGAGAAGCTGGATTATATGAAGTAAATGTGGCATCAGGATGGAAGGAAGGCTTATTAACAACCTGCTATAACCAGATGTCACAATCTTGCTCGCTGACAAGGAGAACGTAAAGCATTTGCTGATGAAGATCAAGGATTGCAACTTTCAGTATGGATTGCTCAATATAAAGAAGACCAGAATCCTCACAACTGGATTAATAAGTAACATCATGATAAATGGAGAAAAGCTTGAAGTCATAAAGGAGGTTGTATTGCTTCAATCTACAATCAATGCTCATGGAAGCAGCAGTCAAATCAAACGAGGCATTGCATTAGGGAAATTTGCTGCACGAGAACTCTTTAGCCTATTGAAAATCAAGGATGTTACTTTGAGAACT